TAAATGCATAATAGAAATTGATTATACAAAAAAATACAGTGGGGTCAGTTCGGACGTAGCACAGTGCTCATTTAGTAAATGCACAGCTGAACAATATGCTAATTATGGCCGTTAATGTTAAGTTAACATTATGCCAAGTCGTCACAAATAAAACAATGCATGGGAAACGGCTTTGGCGTGTTAGTTGCAGCTCGACATACCTATACAACTTTTGTGAATACATAATGCGAAAATATCAAGCAATTGTCTTAATAAACAGCATATTGTATATTATGAGTGAATTTCCATTCCTTAATTCATAGGCTTATAATAAATAAATATATTCTTCCCTAGAAGGGTAGTGAGTGGATCATTGCGGAAGCGAATATATATGCTTTGTTTTCTGCCTAATGTGAATAATCTCAATGGTTTATGGCTTATTAGGGCTGCATTTTGGTGGGAAATGTTTAAAATACATGCTTCATTGCGGACAGAACTACTCTAGTGCATAACGTTGCAACTTAGACGCCCGGATCGAGTACGGTCTCTCAGTTGCAGATATGGCAGGACAACCTGACAGCTGGAGGGATCTGAGAGCGTGTGTCCTCTGTCAGCATCCAGACCGCCCTAAGCCCCAAAACGTCATTCCGTCCAGAGTGCCAAAAGGGTCAAAACGTACTGTTTGTTTTTCATTAATAAGCTGAAAATTGACATGACTACATGAACATTTTGTTTTGGCATACAGTGGATTACAAAAACGGAAAGCCCTTCACCTTGCTCAGTGTTTTATCAAAGTAGTGGAACACCTTAAGAAATACTGTTTAACAGTGTAATGAATGCAACTGATCCTCTGCTTGATTTGCTTAAATTATGAATAGGGCCTACTTAAGTTACTTTTACTCAATACAAAAAAATATTTTTACTTTCATTGTTTGAGAAATTTAAGGCAATCCGTTTTCTCAAACAGTTTGAGTTGAACTAACTAGTCAGGTTTTACAGTACACCATTCACATCTTTGGGCAGTTTGGTAACTTAAATTCACCTTAGCATGTTTTTGGACTGTGGAGGAGGGGACCACAGTACTCAGAGGAAGCCCCATCATGACAGGGAGAGAACATGCAAACTCCACACACATAGACATGAACCCTAGTCCTAGAAGAGAGAGGCTGCAGATGGTAGAAACAACGAGCTCCGGGTCGTGCTCATCCTGTAAGAACACTGGGGTCAGAGCATCCCCCACCTCGAAGCTCAGGCAGCCCTGGGGTGGGATGGTCCCAAAGGGGACAGGCAGGACAAGCCTGAAGAACATCTGTGAACCTTTCTAGCAGGTCTGGGCCTTGGGCTCCAACTTGGCTTTATCCAGGTAGACCCGGACGTGGTTACTGTGTACATTAATTGCACTAATTGTATCTCATTGTGTCTGCATGACAGCATCAGTAGGACCCGACCACTTCCAGAGGCTCCATGCACCCAGGATGCGCTGGTGCTGGAGACGTCCGTACGGTCTTCAGCCAGAGGCACATTGTCAAAGACCTCTGACATGCATTAAAAGGGAAAATAGCACCTCACCTTCTGTCTTCACAGCCATGTCACTGCCTCCCTCCTTCTCCGACACTTACTGCTGTCATCTGTATTGCTAAAGGTGACAGCTCAGGTGTGCCCTAACCCCACCAGTAACAGATACACTCTGACGATGGGTTGCAATTCTTCTTTTTGCAATCCCCTTCAAACTGGACCATTAAAAAAAAATTAATGTACTGTCCTGTTTGCTGTTCTCACTGCATTAACAGCCTGTTGTGACTCGTTTTTCTGTCCTGTTTGCTGTTCTCACTGCATTAACAGCCTGTTGTGACTCGTTTTTCTGTCCTGTTTGCCGTTCTCACTGCATTAACAGCATGTTGTGACTCGTTTTTTGTTTGTCACCCCACTGCTGTGACCAACAAACAAACTGTTCTTTCTTATGTCCAGCTTACCCACAAGTACCTCGTTTTCTGTTTCAGAAGAGTTTCTTTTCTTGCACTTTTGTTTGGTTGCCATGATGAGTAAACGTTTATTGGGCTTAAATTGTAGGCTGCAGTCATGTTGTGTTTTGCACTGACGACTTATAGCTTAATTTGCATGCATCAATATTCATGAGGCGGTTTGTATCGACCATTTATGGATTAATTTGTACACATCAATATTCATGAGGTATTTTGTATTTACCATATATGGTTGGATGTGGGCATGTAGAGGACGGAATATAAGGCTGATCCACAAATGCACAATTCCAGGTAGAGTGTGATTTATAAATTTACTGGGGAATACAGTAACAAGGAACACTAACAGGGAATACTAGTGTAATAGGAAACAGGTGAGGGTAATCAAGAAGAGGGGAAAGTTAGGGGACAGCCAGCAGGTCTCTTGGCCAAAGGTTACATGAAAGAAAAAAGCAAATCAGGCATTTTGTCTTTATTGATTAGTGGTTAGAGTCATGATTGGGTTGAATTAAAGCACAATTGAAGTTTGTGATGCTCGTGAATGGATCTGCACATCACTGGCTATGTTGAAATAAATCAGCTAAAAAAAAAATCACACTTCATATACTTCCCAGATACACTGTCACACACAGGACCTGTGTGTGTATGTGTGTGTGTGTGTGTGTGTATTTGTGAGTTGTATCTTTAAGTGTATATCTGGATATAAGCCATCATTTGTGTGTGTCTGTATGTGCATGTGATGTAGCTTATGTGTGTGTAACAGAGTGAGGGTAATAGACAAAGCTGTTAGTCCACATCAGACTCACAGGTGTGGCAAGTTTAAAAGGCTCTTCCATCAGTGCACCAGCGTGTTGGCATGGTCACAACATGTTGCATCTGTCCCGACATTGACAGCCAGGATAAAACCTGCTATATGCTAGCTTGACACAACAGCTTTGACCCATGCTAGCTATGCCCGTTAGAAGCTCAGAAAACACTGATTAACATGACTTGCCTTTACAATGCTTCACGCAAACAGTCTAGACACTGTGAAAAAAGCCTAATCATAAAAAAAATACTTTATTACCTTGAAAAGTATTTTTTGCAGGAGGCTGCATGTGCATGTGGCTGCTTTCTTCCAGGAAGGAGGGTGGGCATGAAGTCACTGCAGCTCATTCCTGATTGGAGGAATAAACCATGCTGCAACTGCCCCAACGTTGAAATTGTCCCTGCCCCCCCATACATGAATGGGTTAATAACTTTAAAACGAAACAAGTTAGGCACATGCAATGAAGTGTGCTTTGATTAGGAGACTCTGGGGGACAATACAAACCCTTTGGATCTTCAGGTTATCTATGTCGGTAATAGTTATTAATTATTATATGGTATCCATATAATAATTGCACTCGCAATGAGGCAATACATGAATGGGTTAGTTACCCACGACCATAACTAGGATGAAGTGATTTGAAAATTGTCTGAATGAAAGAATGAATAATTTCAAAGAAGTACCACTCTCTTTTGGAAAGTGCAGTAGGTTCTCAATTTTACCAGCAAACAACCACCTTTATACAATTACAGAATCAATCACACAGACACAGTGACTCAGTAAAGGCTTCGAATTTTTTTATTTGCCATTAATCATCCAACTACAAACATTAACAGTTTAACAATCTCTGTTTCTGTTTACAGCCACTTTCTTTCATTGCAATTAAAAATGATTTTTCATGCATTTTGCTGCAGGACCTCATGTGTGAGACGATCTCACTTTGGAGTGTGATCCTCCCCATCCTCATCCAGCCACTTGTTATCAGAACCTTGCTTCTGCAGCTTGATCTCGTGGTTGGGGGTCACAATGAAGGATCTTCCTGATGGGATGGCGACGCTCACATAGATGGTGGCCTTGACCACCTCCGAGTCTGTGCTGCGCTGCACGAACACCGAGGCGAAGGCTGGACTTCCGCCGAAGCTTTCGCTGCCCTTGGCAGGAATCACTATGAACGGGGTCTCGCTGTCCTGCTTAAAGTACGTTGTGGAGTCCTGCTCGTATGTGATGGTGCTGGTGTCCAGCTGCTGTTCATGCAGGTAGATCCGGAGAGGATTCTCTCCGCAGTTCATTACTGTGGAAAGTGAACGAGCTGCGCGTGGTGAGCTCTTAGTCATAGTCACATTGCCAGTATTGCCAATGGTGTGACCACCACCGCCTCCTGTAATGTTGGATCCAGTATTGTTGGTTGTGCTAGAATTATTTCCCATTTCTGAGGAGTTAGATGAGATCTGGAAGTGACAGAGAAAGCCGAAAACTCATTAATGATGATACAGAACATGCTTTACAAACACATTTTTGCTTATGTGAAATTTTGTTTTAATCTTTCCGAACAACTTCTTACCAGATAGATACGTGTGTGGTGAGGAGTAGATCAAGTTTCGGGAAGACTTTTCACACCTGTGGGGAAAGTTTCAGTTACATGCCACAATATTATGTTAAATATTAGTAAGAAGTCTTAAGAAACATATTACCAGTGTCACTAACTCACCTGTTCGTGGATGAGCTCTTCTGTGAGATGTGATCTGCTCTGTCCTTTTTATAGCCGTGCCCCCCTAATCTGGCTTACACGGCATATTTTGCCTACTTCTGATGAAGTGATTGAGCAACATTCCTAGAAGCACATCCACTCAAATAAATGACACATTCATACAAGTCTGTAATTTCCAAGGAAATCTGCCTTGGTGGGCGTGTCCAAGCATTGCTGACTGGCACCTGTGGATCATTCATCAGAGGTTTGTTCATGTGCATCCAATAGTGTGGCCCAATCCACCCTACAGGCAGATTTCCTTGGAAAGTATGATTTGAAGTGAAGGTGTCACAGGCAGGTGGACAAAGTACACAAACGCATTAGCAGAATAGAAGTATAGAACAGGGTTCTCAAACTCCAGTCCTGGAGGGCTGGAGCCCTGCACAGTTTTTGGTTTACTTTCATTAAAAACACCTGATTCAACTACTTACCTAATTACCACACAGCTCTTGAGTTGAATCACTTCTGTTGGAACAGGGAAAAAACTATGCTACACAGGGCTCCGGCCCCCCAGGACTGGAATTTGAAAACCCTGGTATAGAAAGTTTTGTCAAGCTTTTCTGTGATTTTCCATGGATCAGGTTACATTTTTTTATTCCTCCTTGATATCTGATCCTGCAATTTAGGCCAGGATCAGACTGAAACCAATACTGAATATCGGATTGGCGTGTCCCTAGTATAATCCAAACATATTTCATGTTTTGTTTGGTGAACTGCATTTCATTTGTTAATATACATCCATTCCTGCATTTCATGCCTGCAACACATTGCAGAAAAAGTTGGGACAGTAAAGCATTCAACACTTTGCAATGTTGCCATTCCTTCTCACAACATTTTAAAAATGTTTTGTCACTCAGGATACCAAGCAATGATGCGTTTCAGGTATTATTTTGTCCCATTCTTCCTGCAAACACGTCTCAAGGTGTGCAACAGTATGGAATCGTTGTAGTCACATTTTCCCTTTCAAAATTCTCCACCCATTGTCTGTTGGGGAGAGGTCACAGGTCAGGACTACAGGCAGGCCAGTCCAGTACCCGTCCCGTACCATCTTCTTCTGCAACCATGCTTTTGTGATGTGTACAGAATGTGGTTTTGCATTGTGTTGTTAAAATGCATGGACATCCCTGCAAAAGAGGTTGCGTTGAAGGTAGCGTATGTTGCTCTAGTAGCTCAGTGTCCTTTTCGGCATTAATGAATGTAACTCGGTATTGTAGTGATTAACAAAGGTTTCAGCTTAGGCTTGCGCCCTTGCTCTTTGCGCACTGAAATTCCTCCAGATTCCTTGAATTGTTTAGTGACAATATGCACTGTGGAGGGAGAAATATGCTCATCCCATCCAGTCTTTCTTTGAGGATCATTGGTTTTACACATATCAATTGACAATGCCGTAGACAATCAAAATCCATCGTTGGCTGCTTCCCATAAATAAATTTCCCTTGGGCAGTGAATACCGTGTGTGTCCTCACAGGCAGGCCGGCTGCTGATGAGAAAGCTAATCTCTGAGAAGATGGCTGTGCCCTGGAATGAGGTTTGCCTTGAGAGGACGCCCAAAGGGAAGCCCTTCCTGGCGCGCTCTGCCCCTCCCAGCGCCACCCGCAGCTACAGCTTTAACATCTCACACCAGGGGGACTTCGCCGTCCTGCTGCAGAGCGTGGGCTGCAGGTGGGCGTGGACGTCATGAAGACCAGCCGGCCAGGTAGACGATCTCTGAAAGCCGCCTTCTGCAGCGCATGGCTCAGGAGTCCCTCTCTTCTGTGGCAGGTTAAAGCATGCATGGAGTTCAGTGTCAGCCACTGATAGCATGTTTGTTTGTTCGGCCTTCTGTGCGGTGTCCAAGAGCGCGTTTTAGTAATGTCCTCTTTAGGGTTGCAAATTTAAAGGGTTTTTCTTAATCGACAATTGCTAATATTACTGAAGTTACTTGATTATTTACTGACCCCCACGGCAATATAATAATACGGCAATCCCCCCCCCCCATCCACACACACAATATTGCGGTTGAATGCATTCTTCAGTAAAGGAACTGTAGAAGCCAATAATGTCATAGCTGACAATAATGTAATAAGTTGTTACATTATTGGCCAGTTATTACTTTATCAATTTTTATTATGTTGAGAATGGAGAAATTAGGTTATTGGCTTATTGCATTATTGGTAGTTATTAAATTATAGGCCTCTACAAGGACTTTATTGGGAAAAAATAACTTTTAAAGCAATTTAACACCGATGGCTTTTGCGCAGGTACAGGCACCATTTGGCAATGTAGAGCCTACAGACAGCTTAAAATCAGCCTTAGACATTAGAGTATAGGCCTGCTCGCTGATATGGAAATGCGTGACACTTTAAATTTATTAATTTAATTTGGAACTCTTGATCGACTAAATCCTTAATGGCAAATAATCAATTGTCAGTTAATCATTAGCGACACTATTCCTGTTCC